ATGTTATTCTAGAAGGCTGTTTGGCGCCACTCTTTTTGGCCATATCCCTCAGGGCATCACACCCTCTGATTGGAAAGATGCTCCTGGGTTTAGCGAAAAGGTGGTCATTTTCGATATTTAGTTTTCTGCGCATGTCAACCAGCAACTGAAAGAAACAAAATCATGTTCAGTAATGCCATAAACACTAAAAGATGTATATATTGAACTCCGTGCTTTAAATTCATTTCTCATACCAGTACTTTGTTTTCTGCAAAACCGTTTCTGATAATGCATGCACATAACCTTCATCATACTTGTGTTGTGGCCATATTGAGTGTGGTAACAGAAGTTACAAATAATACATGTTCAGGTCTTATGGGTGTATAAATAACATCATTGCTATACATTTGATACAAGTGTTCATACACAAAGAATATATGTTAACAAATACTGTGCTTAATCTTGATTCTGGTACCAATTTCATTGTGAGATCCCCAACTTCAGATCTATACACTTATTATGAAAATTTCATAATGAAAAAAAATCATCATAGCTCTCCTCCCAACAGGCATCCGCACTCAGTTATCAGCTAAGTATTTTTCCCCCTTGTCTCGATGCGCTTGTGAGTTTCACAAAGTTTCAGCTCAAAGCTGTTGAGGCTTTTTTTCTTTCTGATTCCATCATGGTATTTCCTTCTTTTAAACCGTTGTTGAAATCTGATATTTTCAGCCCTTGCGCTTCACCACTTCGTTTCCTGTTACAGAGTATTATCTGGCACAGACAGATCTTGCCAAACTCCAAGTATCTGGATTCATCATCCCAGTCCTTGCAAAGTTCAGAGGCCTTCTCTAAATATTTGTGCAGGAGAACAACATCTTCCACTAGTGGCAACATTTGTGGCCTGTTGTACCTGGCCGTACTCAGTGTTCCATGTGCATGGACAGAAACTCTCTCTGTCCATTCATCCTTGTATAGCTCAAGGAAGTCAGTGTCTTTTCTCTTCAAAGCCTCATCCTCATTTCGTGTGGCTGAATTCCTTAAAATACCGCAGCATTTCTGCAGGGTGTAGCTGAGCTTCAGGGCCAGCGAAGGCGTGGCAAATGTGTACACCTTGCTGTCATAGCCAGCAACATTTCTAACTGCTGTCATAACCGCATCAAACATTTGTGGGGAAAAACACTGAGTTAGTGATTTAACGTCACTGTTGGCATCACACATAGAGATAAAAAAAAACAACCAAGTTCTTTCATTTTTTGCGATATGTACTGCCACTTGTGCTGCTGTCCTCCAACTCTCTCGTACTGTCTTTGTCCATAGAGCAGAATGAGGGAGTCCTGCTTCACTATACGAGTGATAGAGTCCTCCCTCATTCTGTCCAGGATATTTGTTTGAAAATCACTTCGATTCTTCATAGGCAACAACTGTCTTGAATTTTCAATGGTTGAGCCGAAAATGTGCTCATTTTGGAACTGGCTACAGGTCTTCTGATGTTTTCGCAGGGATGTTTTAACAACAAATGCCCTGCAAAACTCACAGGGCAGATAGTGGTTAACTGATTTGTTCTCGCCTTCTCTGGATCTATACTTTGGAAGTAGAACACCCTGTTCTTTGCGGAAAACATCATAATTATGACCAAAATCCCCTTCTCTAAGGAGAACTGACCAAGCATCTTTTCTCTCTCTTGACTTTTTTGTGAGACACAACACCCTTGCTACCCTTGGTTCATTGGAATGAACCTGCTCCATATGGGGGGGCATCTTCGAGTAATACTTACTACAAAACAGGCAACAATGCATTTTGGCCTCACGTTTGCCGCTGATTTTGATGCATGTCTGAACAAGAATCTGTTTTGGTTTTTCTGTTGTGATTGGTAATGATTGTGATACCACATCTGATGCACCCTCATCACCAGATGAATCTGGCACATATTCCAGTCCTTCAGATGCTTCAGAATCCTCATCTGGGATATAATCCTCGTCTTTTTCATCCAGCTCAGAAACTATATAAAATAGATCACATCTGATAAGTAAAATGACATATAGTGCATGGCCTGCTACACCAATAACACAAAGACTAACTCAAACCCATATTGTCTTTGAAATATGGCAGATCTATGCCAAAACCTTGTTAGAATAGTTACGCTGGATGCTAACGTTTACTTATCTTTGCGGTTCCATTCACAATGAAATTTGATACAATTTCTTTTCAGTCTTAATAACACAATACCATTTTCAAAAATACCTCATTCCAGAAAATGTTGCAGCATATATGGAAAATCGTTTATGATATCAAACCACCATTTTATCCTTTTCTATATTTTCCATTAATTTTCTCCAGTAATTATTCAAGTGAGGTCATCATTGATATGCCACAAACAAATCATTAGCAAAAAACAATGACATCTTATAATTTTTGTAACCATCCTGCACAATTAAGGTAGTGTTTGTGTAACCATATGCAGTGTGTGTTAGGATTCTGGTTAAAACAATGTCAGGCAGTGATAATCACATTAACGTTATTTATGTGAGAAATTATTGCTGTGAAGACATTATGCAAGCATGGTTGAAGTAAGAGACAATCATGTCTTTAATCACTTTTGTAATGAATATGCACACTTAATTAAGGTTAGTGTTTATGCATCCATATGCAGTGTGTTAGGATTCCAGTTAAGAGAATATCACGCTTTGATAATCACATCAACTTCATTTATGTTAGAACTGATTCTTCAAAACACTGCAAATTAGCCTGGTTAGGTGATCATTGATATGTCATTAGCAAATCATCAGCAAGAGACAATCACGTCTTTAATCATTTTTGTAATCATCATGCACACTTAACTAGATGCACTGTGTGTAAGGATTCTGGTTTAAAAGATATCAGGCTGTGATAATCACAGCATTCTAATACATGTTATCAGATAAAAATGACTTTGTCATCACCACCTTCAGACTTGTGACAGTACCTGAAAATAATATACAAAAATCCCACAAAGCATCGTATTCTTAAACTCATTTTTCACATCAAAATCAGAGAAATATCAACACATGGAAGCATCTAAATATTCTCACATCATCTCTTGACATCAAGGAAATTAATTCAAGTACATTTACAGGATAAAAATCTGCAGCTTTCCTCTCAAAATCAACAAATGTTGATGGATTTTAGTGTGAAAACCAAAATCATCTTCATGAATGCTGTACATTAAGATACAAGATAATACTAACATACTTTTCAAATTGTAAACTTTTCCAACAACATTATCTTTTCGGAACATGTACAGAGACCTAACCTAATCAACATCTGTACTCCTTAAACCATGAAATTCAGGCATCACCAACTTTATGTGTTCCACCACTTAGACAAATCAAACTTACAATATGTTTGAAACATATAATACCAAATCAGCAAATGACAACATCAAGAGTACAATAATAATTTCATGATATACTCGGAGGGGATCAAGTAGTTAAAAGTATATGCACTTACCGCATTTAGTTGGTTCACCTATTCTTACATGAAATGTCCTCCCATCCTCATTATTTATTGTTCCTCCTGCTTTTGAGAGATACCATTTCATCTGTGAATAAAATGTAATAAACATAACAAACTTAAGTATAATTTAAATGGTATCTTTTTTCATAGTGTGAGGCTTCTACATATGTATGAGCCTGTGGTGTCCGAGTGGGAACAAACACTATCTTCTTTCAGAAAGCACTTTAATTTATAAGAAATGTCACAATACATGGGACAAGCGACAGACGCTCTATCCTGCAGCCGGGCATGTCCACAATCGGACTCTGCATTCGGCACCTACACTACCCACCTTCCAAAACACGATAATAGTGAAGCGCCCCTAAAATGACTATGATTAAACCATAGTTACAACAGCCTTTACACCTTTACAACAGAGACCAATGCTGTCTGCCCTCATAGTGCTGAATATTGCGCTTGAATCCTCTTGATGAGTTCTCTGGGCTGGTAACAATAAACGCGCTCTTTGAAGTACCAGTTTATGTTTTGTTTGTTTTGGGGCAAGGCCACATCGTTTAACGTGTTGCCAAAGCTCTTTCTTTACATAGTAACCCAGGCAGTGTTCACAGGGAACATAATCACTCCAGGATGTATTTCCACTTGGTCTGTAGGTGACTATTATTTCTCCTGAACCCCTTTTAATCACCTCTGTGTTATGAAGGTGACTTCCTAGATTCCTCAGCTTGGTCATGATTCTGTTTCTTTCGACTTTGTTGTTAGTAGCAAGATACTTTGCTACCTCGGCTTCTTCTTTGTGCGGTGTCTCGGTAACTTTGACTGTTTTGAAAGACAGTACGGACAGTGAAATGGTTTGTCGTATGACCGGCCATTTGCATTGTTCGTAGTTGTAACTAATATATTTGGTGGAATTGCCGCTGTCTCCTGCACGGCAAGGCTTTTGCTTTTTGAGACATTGGATAGATGTACTAATCCTGAATCGCTTTCAGAATCCTCTATCTTGTTACTGCTCCCCGAATCACTCCATGTTTGTTCTGAATTTGAGCTTGACTTCAAGAGCGGATGAAACACAAACCACCCCCTTTTATTAATGCATTCTCATTATCTATCTACCCCTCCACATATAGAAAGTTAACAAAAGCCTAATACATGGAATAATATTTCATAAAAAAGTATAAATATCCACAATTATATGTGAAAAAACTTATTTCTGTGCATAGAAGAAAATACTAAAGGAAATACGTTTGGTATACCTAGATTGCATGCATGTACATAGTAGCATGCTTGTTTCCATTAGTTTCCTAAATCACATAATCATCATTCACAGATGCACTTTCACCATACCTTCTTGGACATTGACGGTATCTTGGTTTGTTTAGTGTTTCTGAAGACATTTTTATTGACATAAGCCAAATATCACACCTTGACAAGCACTATTTCATGGAATATACATGTCTTATGCTTTTAGAGGTGATATAGACATTACGTCCCTTGAACAATATTTCGGTCATTCTAGATGTGTCATCCAATAGAGAGTGGGCTGACCATGATTGATTGACATAGAAAAGACAGATACAGCAAGAGAAAGACACAGTGGGATTATGAAAGACCCTATCTAGTCTGGATTTTAGTCTACCATTTGACCAATGAGAATGGTAGGCACATACCTTACCATTTGAACAGCTGCCGTGGTTTAAAGTTCAACGTGGTTGCTTCTGTGAGGTTCTGAGCATTTTACCACAAAGAATATTAAATAATATTTTGTCAAATGTTTTTGTGAAAGAAATGATTTTTTAAAATTGTGAATTTCTGAAAACTCACACTTACCCGAAATGCCTTCATCTTCCTTCTTTCTAATGTCTTTCTGAATGTACACAATATAAGTTCTGCCTTCTGCCTGATGCACCCACAGTTGGCAAAGTGCGACACTGCAAGTCAATATGCCATCTGTATTACTTTATTATTGTAAGCTTGAAACAAAGCGGTTAATTAGCTCGAAAGCTTTGAAATTGAACAACAAATGCTCCAGAACAGTTTGTTACTCACACAAGTAATATTTAGTGAACAATTATCTTTTGATAAACACATAACAGTCTAAAACACGTTGCTTTGTGCTAATAATTATACGTTACCTTCTTCACAGTTGAGATAATTTCAGGATACTTTCTTAGTGCTGCTCCATGCAGTCAGGCTTCCCCAACTTTGATATAGCTTTCAAACACTGTGGCAAGTTCTGTAATGAAGACTTCTCCTTAAGCTAATTAGTTTAAACATTTCACGCATAATGATGAAGTAGATCAATCACCATTCTAAAACATGGTTGAAGAAAAATATGTGAAATATAAACTTGCGTGAATAACAAGATATTTCAAAACTAAATTATGACAGCTCAATGCAAAACTATTCTGCAATGCAAAAGCGTAATAGTATGATGCTTGAGGCCACTGCGTCTTGAATAAAGAAAACCTGGCGTCTCTATTAAGTTTTTGTTTTTATTGAACTATGTTTAGTTATTATCATTTAGTTATTAGCTCATTATCATTAAAATGTTGCTGAAAAACTAAGATCACAATCAAACCTGTTTTCCCAATTGAAGAGAATTCCTAATTTCTTTGTAAATGCAGCTTAGCTTGATAACTGTTTGTTGCACTGAAATAAATATTTATCCATAATTATAAAAAGTGTGTTAGCGGAGGTTCTCAGATTTCTTTGTCATAAATATGTTTGTATATAGACACTATATGTATAGATCAAAGCTGACTTTCACTGAGCAGTGTAAATGCATGGAGATACAATCACGTCGAGGTAAATATGTGTAGATATTTGGAATATAACCTATGAATACATATATTTTACAGTACCTTCCAAAATGAGGGAGCACAATCATATTATGTGCTGAGATTATCAAGCAACTGCATGTATTTTCTCTTGCTGCTAAACTTACTTGTTTGGCGTTGATATATTGCCCAGCAACTAACATTCAAAATTACGACTGAACATGTTCAATTATAATGGTATTTCTTCTTTAAACTACTTAACACATTTCTTTATCAGCGGGTAATTTTCCGCCAGCAAGTTATCAGAGTGGGCACTTCATAGTGTATCAAATTACAATACTGCACTAAAAACAAGGGGCTAAACTGAACCTGAATGTATTACTTGATAGTGTAACCAACAATCATTATTAACTCTTTTCAACACCAGTCAATCAGAGGCATTTACTGCCATGACACGAGTTCCCAGAGACTCTAAGGTCACAGATGAAGCCTATGTTTATGAAGGAAATTATAAGCTTGTAAAACGTTATTACTACTACATACACCATTTAAAAGATCTAATCCACTGTTGATAAATATGAAGTTTATTTTTATAATATAATTCAAATTTACAACTTAAATACATTTATTTTTGAATGAAAATGCAAGTTTACATTTATAATGTCCAGATAAACCCATGAAAGAAGCAAAAACTATGGCGATTTTTTCCATTTGTGACATGTCATAACATGCCCGTGCCTTTTTCTTTCATATTTTCATTTTCACGTAATCAGAAAATTATTATAAAAGATTTCTTAAATAATATGTATGGTTGGCTTATTTCCCGATATCAGTGGCTTTCGGCTCGGTAACAGGACACAACAACGGAAAATACCTCGGTTTTGAAGCCATTATGAATAACATGCGAGGCGAATCGTTTGATGTCGGGTATCGTTGGAAAGCTCTGAACATCAACAATATCACTGTACCCTTGCCAAAAGTATTTTCACAGTTGTAAGAAGCGATTTTATTGGATAAAGATTGGTTTCCAATGACCCTTTTTTGCCACAGTCTGCTATAAGGTGTCGTGATTGGTCAAAATCGAACCGTTGACCTAAGGCAGCCAATCATATTACGGCAATGGATATCATCCTCGTAAACGAAAACTTTTAGATTTAGACAAAAGTTTTGGGTAAAATAATGCTATTCTGAACATATTACGCAAGAAATCGCTACCTATACATAAATTATGGAACTTATTGGACGTATCGTGCTAGGTTATGACCTGTGACAAAAATGCTTCATGTATATATTTTCGCATTAAACATCGTGTCCGAGCGTGAAGATTGAGGTGGCGAGAGTCGAGATGTCACTTGTCAGTGACTTGACTTACATTATATGATCGCACAAAAAGATGGAAATAGTAATTTTATATGTACGTTTGACAACTTTTATGAATGTTGTTGTTGATTTTATTCATTAGTTTATTCAATTTATTTAATGAATTCCTCGAAACATCGTTACTTTGCTCTTTGACAATGTTATTGTGGACCCACTGTCGAAGCATGTGTAGGGACAGGCAAGCATTTTTTGAAAATTTTATAGAATTTTTGTCTTTTCATAGTTTGATGGGTTGAAACCTCCAGTTGTGAAAAAAACCCACCATCATAATTTGGGACATCAACCAGTCCCCAAACTACATGTGTTACAACCTTGTTTTGACACACCATTTGTGCATGCATTTTCGCATGTTTCAAAAAGTAACCTCACTCAATAGTTTCAACAGACAACTGCTGTTCCATGAACAAATTTAATCACAATTATAACAAAACATTAAGGAACACATATTCAAAATTACAATGCTGAAAACTGTCCCTGAATTTTTAAAGATGCCAGGAAACAGACCACGGTCAGCTCATGAAGGCGATTCTGAAACAGAATGAATCCATACAATGGCAGGATCAAATAATTTCACCAGTTTTTATGCTTTCTTTATCTCCGATTTAAATAATGTGAATTTCCATTTAATTATTTGATATGACCACTGTTTTTAAAGCTTCCAAACAAAGTGTTATACCTAAAGTTGAACTCTCTCATGCAATGTCCTCCCAGCAATACATCTTGTCAACAAGGTTCACTGAAAACACTTCTTAGGCAATGTCCTCCCAGCAATACATCTTGTCAGCAAGGTTCACTGAAAACACTTCTTAGGCAATATCCTCCCAGCAATACATCTTGTCAGCAAGGTTCACTGAAAACACTTCTTAGGCAATGTCCTCCCAGCAATACATCTGGTCAGCAAGGTTCACTGAAAACACTTCTTAGGCAATGTCCTCCCAGCAACACATCTTGTCAGCAAGGTTCACTGAAAAGAAACTTCTTAGGCAATGTCCTCCCAGCAATACATCTTGTCAGCAAGGTTCACTGAAAACACTTCTTAGGCAATATCCTCCCAGCAATACATCTGGTCAGCAAGGTTCACTGAAAACACTTCTTAGGCAATGTCCTCCCAGCAACACATCTGGTCAGCAAGGTTCACTGAAAACACTTCTTAGGCAGTATCATCCCAGCAACACATCTGGTCAGCAAGGTTCACTGAAAACACTTCTTAGGCAATGTCCTCCCAGCAACACATCTGGTCAGCAAGGTTCACTGAAAACACTTCTTAGGCAGTATCATCCCAGCAACACATCTGGTCAGCAAGGTTCACTGAAAACACTTCTTAGGCAATGTCCTCCCAGCAACACATCTGGTCAGCAAGGTTCACTGAAAACACTTCTTAGGCAGTATCATCCCAGCAACACATCTGGTCAGCAAGGTTCACTGAAAAACACTTCTTAGGCAATGTCCTCCCAGCAACACATCTGGTCAGCAAGGTTCACTGAAAACACTTCTTAGGCAGTATCATCCCAGCAACACATCTGGTCAGCAAGGTTCACTGAAAACACTTCTTAGGCAATGTCCTCCCAGCAACACATCTGGTCAGCAAGGTTCACTGAAAACACTTCTTAGGCAGTATCATCCCAGCAATACATCTGGTCAGCAAGGTTCACTGGAAATACAGAAAATAACATATTGAGTTCATCATCCACAAGGAGCATGAGAAATACTTTCCGCTTCAAATGCTTTAAACAATATTCATCTAAGGAAAGAGTTATGACCAACATTAATTACATATAGCAGTAAATGGTGTGCATGCTATTTTCTATGCCATGGAATCATGTATGCTAGTCTGAATATGATAACTAATGAAAGAAAATATACTAACTTATAACTAAGGACTAAATATAGTAAAAGGATACCTTATGATTCACATATAATTATGATATGTTATTTGCACAATAATAATTGAAATGTTTCATTCTGTAATCACTTCTACTCATTCCACTGATACCTACTGATGTTAATTATAACAATGAAATGGAACAATAAAGAAATAACTGAAGTAAAGGTTAGTAAGGAAATGGAACAATAAACAATCTGTGAAGAAAATGTCAGTAATTAGTAAGGAAATGGAACAATAAAGCGATCTGTGAAGAAAAATGTCAGTAATTAGTAAGGAAATGGAACAATAAGCGATCTGTGAAGAAAATGTCAGTAATTAGTAAGGAAATGGAACAATAAACGATCTGTGAAGAAAATGTCAGTAATTAGTAAGGAAATGAAACAATAAACAATCTGTGAAGAAAATGTCAGTAATTAGTAAGGAAATGAAACAATAAACAATCTGTGAAGAAAATGTCAGTAATTAGTAAGGAAATGAAACAATAAAGCGATCTGTGAAGAAAATGTCAGTAATTAGTAAGGAAATGGAACAATAAACAATCTGTGAAGAAAATGTCAGTAATTAGTAAGGAAATGGAACAATAAGCGATCTGTGAAGAAAATGTCAGTAATTAGTAAGGAAATGGAACAATGAACAATCTGTGAAGAAAATGTCAGTAATTAGTAAGGAAATGAAACAATAAACAATCTGTGAAGAAAATGTCAGTAATTAGTAAGGAAATGAAACAATAAACAATCTGTGAAGAAAATGTCAGTAATTAGTAAAGGAAATGAAACAATAAACAATCTGTGAAGAAAATGTCAGTAATTAGTAAGGAAATGGAACAATAAGCGATCTGTGAAGAAAAATGTCAGTAATTAGTAAAGAAATGGAACAATAAGCGATCTGTGAAGAAAAATGTCAGTAATTAGTATGAAAATGAAACAATAAACAATCTGTGAAGAAAATGTCAGTAATTAGTAAGGAAATGAAACAATAAACAATCTGTGAAGAAAATGTCAGTAATTAGTAAGGAAATGGAACAATAAATCGATCTGTGAAGAAAATGTCAGTAATTAGTAAGGAAATGGAACAATAAACGATCTGTGAAGAAAATGTCAGTAATTAGTAAGGAAATGGAACAATAAGCGATCTGTGAAGAAAATGTCAGTAATTAGTAAGGAAATGAAACAATAAACGATCTGTGAAGAAAATGTCAGTAATTAGTAAGGAAATGAAAACAATAAGCGATCTGTGAAGTAAAAGTCAGTAATTAGTAAGGAAATGAAACAATAAACGATCTGTGAAGAAAATGTCAGTAATTAGTAAGGAAATGAAACAATAAACGATCTGTGAAGAAAATGTCAGTAATTAGTAAGGAAATGAAACAATAAACAATCTGTGAAGAAAATGTCAGTAATTAGTAAAGGAAATGGAACAATAAACGATCTGTGAAGAAAAATGTCAGTAATTAGTAAGGAAATGAAACAATAAACAATCTGTGAAGAAAATGTCAGTAATTAGTAAGGAAATGAAACAATAAACGATCTGTGAAGAAAATGTCAGTAATTAGTAAGGAAATGGAACAATAAACGATCTGTGAAGAAAAATGTCAGTAATTAGTAAGGAAATGAAACAATAAACAATCTGTGAAGAAATGTCAGTAATTAGTAAGGAAATGAAACAATAAACGATCTGTGAAGAAAATGTCAGTAATTAGTAAGGAAATGGAACAATAAACGATCTGTGAAGAAAATGTCAGTAATTAGTAAGGAAATGAAACAATAAACGATCTGTGAAGAAAATGTCAGTAATTAGTAAGGAAATGGAACAATAAACGATCTGTGAAGAAAATGTCAGTAATTAGTAAGGAAATGAAACAATAAACAATCTGTGAAGAAAATGTCAGTAATTAGTAAGGGAAATGAAACAATAAACGATCTGTGAAGAAAATGTCAGTAATTAGTAAGGAAATGGAACAATAAACGCATCTGTGAAGAAAATGTCAGTAATTAGTAAGGAAATGAAACAATAAACGATCTGTGAAGAAAATGTCAGTAATTAGTAAGGAAATGGGAAACAATAAACAATCTGTGAAGAAAATGTCAGTAATTAGTAGGGAAATGGAACAATAAACGATCTGTGAAGAAAATGTCAGTAATTAGTAAGGAAATGAAACAATAAACAATCTGTGAAGAAAATGTCAGTAATTAGTAAGGAAATGGAACAATAAACGATCTGTGAAGAAAATGTCAGTAATTAGTAAGGAATGGAACAAGAAAAATAACTAACTGAAGTAAATGTTAGTGATTTCAAAATTATATTAAACTGGAAAACAAATAGTTAGGTAATATTATGATAACCAGGAACAAAAGAAATATGCAGTTCACTGGTGTAGTGTAGAAGTCAAACAAATCATATCATGCAAATCACATGGAACATTTAAATTAGTTTTTTCATCATGCATGATTGGTGTCAACTGATTTGTTTCAGGTAAATAAACCAGCTCACGCATGAATCCCTGATCTGTTAGCCGGATCACAATGTTGCAGAAATACAGGGAAAGTCTGTCTCATAATGTTTCACAATCCATATTTACACGATCATCAAATCTCCGGCTTCATAATCCAGCAGCAAGTCATACACATAGAGAGCATCGTCATGATCGTACTTCACGTTGTACCACGAAGGGTATCCTGGCACCGTAGAGATGACATTGCCTTGGTACATGTTTCCATCTGAAAACTTGTAATCAACTCTTGCCAACAACTAATGGTTGATTTGGTAGCACTGTACCTTCAGTCAGTGGTCCCCTGTATGCCTCCTTGACAAGTTCTTGTAGATTGAATTGGAGCTTTTCAAGGGTGAACTGTCTCACTTTTCCTGGGTTATTTTAGCCGCTGAAGGAAAAAACATTGGGGATGCTTGATTTCTGAAGAAGAACTTTCTTTCTGAAGTTGAGTTGGGTTTGAAGGGCTTTTCTCTTTTCAGATGCTGTCCTTATTTCTGCCAATTTTGTCTCAACTTCAGTCTAGATTGCCAAAGCCCATAATAGGCAATCAAGTTTGTTAGGTTTTCTTTTCTCTTCAGTTTTTCTTCTCTTGCTGTTCTAATGGCATCTGCTTTTTCTCTCTGTTTCTGTTCCCGTCCTCTTTTGATATCTTCCAGTCTCCGCTTGAAAGTTAAGCAGATGGTTTTGCTGTGTGTTCTGGAATCATCAAGGAGTTTGTTCTTTTCTTCTTCAGGTAAGGATTTCAGCCATTGTCCTGTTTTATTGAAAGAATACATTAGGAATGACTCATTGCAAAGGGTTGAGGCATTTGGGCGATAATGAAGAAGAAAATCCACCTGCCCAAAGAAGAATTCCGGTAATTTGTTGTGCTTCTTTGATGAAAAGGTCTCTGACTTCAGTTCATCAGTGAAAGAAGCATACTTGCCTCCTGGAAGTTGATCAGTAAGCTGGCGTTTAAGCAGAGTCAGCATGCTCTCACACACAACCCGTACGACATCAGATGTAAGACCATCCACATCACATGGGCGCAGGGAGTTCCCTGTGGATGTTGTCATCTTCTGCAACTGTTGTGTCAAATGGCGCGTTACCTTTCCAGTCACAAAGTCCATGGCTACTGCATTGTCACCTTTTAAACTCTCAAAAGGAATGTGCAGAGATCCAAGTATTGCTTGTTCATTTCCAGGATGTGTAGACCACCTTCAATGAATCGCCAAAGTGGAGCTATTATCTGTTTGGATATGAGACCAAATGCACGACATCCTGCGAGACAGACTTCATTTTTGATATCACTTCTAATCTGTTGCAATAGCCTGTTGGTAACTCCATGGACATTTTCTAGGAAATTGATAATTCTTTGCTGATGGTAATAAACAACCCCCAAGCAAAAATACAACATTAAACCGATTGTGTTTAAAGGGGAAAAACAGCACTTTCTCATTTTCACTTTCAACAAATGTCTTCCATGAACCATGGACTCCACTTTTCATCTGCACCTCTTCCAAATGCTTTGCTGGAACATCTGATCTGATTTGGAATACTCGGGTTGGTTTTCTTCATCATGGCTTGTACAGGCATCCCTCGCCATAACGCAGGTCTTGGGGTCCATGGATGACATGAAACTTGCAATCAAACATCACAAGACATGATAATTCAATTGTTGTTCCTGTCACGCTACCTGTTATTCAACTAAGCCGGAAATAGCAATCAGCTGGGCACACATCGATGTTTTGGTCCAATGTACCCGTTGATTCATTTAAAAGCGATCCAAAATATAACATCCAAGAATTTCTATTCCATTATCAGAATAATTGGGGGCGGTGGGGTAGCCTAGTGGTTAAAGCGCTATGGCTCGTCCACGAAGACCAGGTTCGATTCCCCACATGGGCACAATGTGTTAAGCCCATTTCTGGTGTCCCCGCCGTGATATTGCTGGAATATTGCTAAAAAGTGAAGTAAACTAAACTCAGTCAGTCAGTCAGAATAATTGATATGTCAAGCAGTTATTCTAACAGAGATCTTATATATTGCAATCATTATAAGTATAATGCATGTTTTCTCTGAACATATTTAACATAATAATATGCATTGCTAAGCACTTTGGGTTACCTGGCTGGATACATTTTCGTAGGAGACAGTTTGACAAGTCACCGCTGACTTCCGTGGTAATGCGGTCACTTTGATTGTAAAACAAAATGTTGGCAATTAATTGTCAAATATGACTTCAACGAGTCAATAACGCGAGTCTTGGGGTCAGTGGATGACAAGGCTGTAATCTGTTAAGTGATTGCTGAGAAAAATGTGAAATTGGTGCTATCGCGGTGAAGCGCCAAAAACGGACCCTCACCTAATGTGGTAAGCGGGTGTTGTATGGAATGAGGTAATGCCATTTCACTCACGGTTTCTCCGTTGTTATTGTAAACAGTTTTAATGAATGAAAATGGGATTGAATTTAATCAAATAAAATGTTTTTCTGACATCATACATTCTCGGATGGCGGTGTATACCCGCCGCAATTACGCCAGCTGTGTTGCATCATAGCAAACGTTGTAAGTACATGGCTGATAATTGACATGTCTTTATGATAAAGTTATTACGATGTTTCGCTGTTCATCAATTATTATTGAAAAGACCCTGCATGTTTTCAGCATCTGAAAAACATGGATATATCACGATAAACACTGTTAATTGCAATCTGCACTGAATTTCACTTCAGTTTACTACGTGGATTAACCAGAGCTCAACAGCCGGATTTGTTGATGTGCTATTTTCAATGACGTGAATATGTGTGATCACTGGGCAACTTTTTATGGGAGCCACGGATTACCCCCGGTGTATCGCAAAGAGCGTTATTAAGAGGATGACTGTACCTGGTACAGGATGGTCAGGGTGTTCTGTGGAATGAAGTTGTTCAAATTTCTTGATGGCTAATGCGCCACATCTGCACATCCAACTAACAAGTACAGTCCACAAAAGAAATTGTTCATTCTTGAACATGCACCTCTTTCTTCATCCGACATTTCTTCCCATCCTTGTACAATGTGTGGCAACAGTTCAAGTCTGTATCACTCCAGTAATTCCTGAATTTTTTTTTTGTGTAGCTGCACAATCACTTATACTGTTTTTAATATTTGTCAGAATCTTCTGGCCAGCCTCTGTTGATGACCCATGGCAGGCAGCATCGATGTCACCAATGATGTCTTATAAATTTCCATGTTTGGTATTGACAATGTTCACTTACTTTTTAACACTTAAAATTCTGCTGCCAATTCATCCTGCATAAGGTAACCATGGACCTGCAAAGGGATAAAACAGAAAAAGGGCAATGATTTATTTCAAAACACTACCATTTTTTCGTGAAACTGAATCTATTGTAAAAAGATAATCAATATTGTCATATTAATTATATATCATTTAATGACATATGTCATGGAAGTAGCAAATTGCATTATATAGAACAGATTATCATTAAATCTATGTACAATTAGTGAATTAAAATATAATCAGATTTAAAAAATTATTCTATACTATTACTACACTGTGTATAGTCTACACTGACAGTTAAAGAAACATGACTTGAAATATCATTTGAATCAGGAAACAATTTCACACACTGTAAACATTGAAACAATGAAAACCAGTGAAATTAAATTTGTAGGTTAGTACAACAATATTCAATAACTTACTTAATACAAATTAAAACTCGAATCAATACTGGAATAACAAATATAGAAAATGGAGTATCCATAATCTTGACAATTGATGTAAAAAATATATAATAAAAGCAGCCCAAACTGACCAGTGTGTTGCCATGCCCTAGAGTCTATACCCTTACAATCACTGTTACTGTTAATCAGTGTTAAGTTAAATTTTAAAAATGAAATCATGAAATTTTAAAAATGGTTTGTTAATTTGAATTTGTTTCAATACTATTACTAGTCAGACTTTCTGATGTTTTACATGTGTTTTGTAAAGGGAGATAACTCTAAAACTACCTACCTTGAGCTACCAGCTTGCTAAAACAAAGGGAAGGAGTGTGGGTTCAAAACCCCTGAACCGCTAACTAGGAAAATATAGTTTTCTTTTCATTTTTAAAGTTTTGGGTTTTAGAGAGTTCCTTCACAGTGGTATTATTTACTCAATGAAAGTACATGTATTCTACACCATGAAGTGATACTGGCAATTATAGTTAACAAGAGGAAACTTTATCTAAACTGGGAACTACTACAATTAGCTGTACTGGTAAGACATGAACATCAATATTCTAGTATTGAAACTGCCTTAAAATTAATGCAATTCAGCATTATCACCTACACTATTTAGTATACTTTTAAAGTTCTTGCAGTTGCTGTTGCATCCCAAAGGAAATGATCTGTCATCTTGTTTGTTCAAATTATTTAACCATGTTATTGGTTTGCAATAAACTTTAAATGAATTTTAAACTTCAAATTTTAAAAATATCAAAATATTCATATTCAAAACATTAGCAAAACATAGTTATATGTTATAGTCTGTTTGCAGTGAAAGCGCATTTGATGAATTTCACTTTAAACAAAAATGTAAATCAAATAAAGTGAAAGTAAGATTGTGAATTCTGATAATTTTACCTTGCCATTTGAACATTTAAATCTGAGAATTTCATTCAACTGAGCATAAAAGTTGTTTAACAAACGATCATAGTTTCAAATCGCTGTTATTGGTTTGTATTTCCGTTCACTATTTCTTCACCAAACTTGGCACATAGATAGATCTGGTGGTGTACTGGTGCCTTTGGTAGTTTTGGATTTCTGAATAAAATAATTTTTGGTGTTTCCATGGCAACAATATTTACTTCAACTGAATTTGAAGGTAGTGCTCCTTTCTGAGCAGAACTTTGAAAAACCTTTCAGTACTCTCCTTCAACTTTTCTATATACACATAAGAAAAATTTGACCTAATCATAAGTCATAGACATATTCATGAAGAATATTTTGCCATTAAGTGGGGATATTGATGACTTTGTCTTCTTGTTGTATTTTTCATAGAACGCAGCTGGTATTTTAATGATGACCAATGATCCGTGAGCATTTCCTACATGTACTGCAATACATATCTAACATCTTCGATGTCAACCTTGAAATTCCAGGTTCCCTTCGGAAGAAATTTGCATTCTCTTTTCTCCTTCTTGTTACATTAGCTGAGTCTTCAGTTGATAACACTTTTGCGCTTCTAGGGGTTTATTGATGATGACTGTTACATAAAGCCATTTGACATTGTATTGAATCTCGTACGTCATCACGCCGGTGTGTCCCGAGATAGTTACTTCCGGGTAGAAGTGTTACATGAAACCGTTACCTGTGATTAGGGTTGAAACAGGTAGTAATTGAAATTAAAACAAAGTTACGTGAACGTTGTTGATGTTTGTATAGGTGCAATCATTTTGCTGAAAATACAATAGTTTGAGAATTAAATCGTCCCATAGTTTTCATCGATTGGCTACCCTGTCATAGTTCAAGAAGGGCGCTGACCCTCTCATGGTACAGCAGGATTTGCACAAAATCCTTTTGTGACAAATTCTCGAGAACTTACACCAGGAAATGTGTTCCATCTTCTTAACTATCTTCAACACCATATAACATTAGACTCTATCATGGTTGACATAAAGTTTGTTCTCAAACTCAAAATGCCAGCGACAAGA